TGTATAAGTATAAGTATTCAGGAAGTCACAAAAAAAGGGGAGGAAAGAGAGGATTTTGTAGCAAACATGGCACTGCACAAAGCTCTCAGTCAGCTTCTTGAAAGACAAGGAGATAAGAACAGCCTAGGATTTTTAAAAATTTAAAAACTGAAAAGACAATATCTGTGAGTTAAAGATGATGAAGGACTTCAAATTTCTAGTATTAGTGGTTCACACACACAAAAAAAACACAGAAACAAGTGAATCTTGCGGAAGCCCTACTATGCAATGGTAGGCAGCCGCTCATATATAAGCATGGACTTTGCGACCCCATTGATCCTTTCCCTATATATTATATACTCACACCGTAGCACATTCAGAAAAGATGTGTCCATCATTATCTATTAAAATTGTTCACATTAGTCAGGCATTTCTTATTAAAAAAATACTCGGATTCAACAAAATGGAAGGCTGGGTCCAGACAACTTCGATACATACAGGGTGATAAAAAAAACCTGTGCAACTTTTTTTCTAAATATCTCGCACAAAATTTGTACTAGAATGTTGTAATTTGGAATAATAATTCATTCAAAAGGAATTTGTTTGACATAAAATTCACAAAGAAGAAACTTATTTTTGAAAATGGAAAGGCTTTTATAAAAACCTCCTACAAAAATGCAAAATGCACCGAATTAAAAGATCTTGTAAGGAAAGTCATGAAATGAGTTTGATCTTTCCTTTCCTTTTATTTTTAAAATCTAATCTTTACATCCCTGTAACCTTTAAACAATATTTCTTATCTCCTGCACAGTTAAAAAATGTATTTTATATTCTTGAATTCCGAGAACCAATGGTCTATATGTCCTCCTTTGGACTCAACACATTTTAAGGCGTTGTTCGCAATGTTCAATGGTGGCCAAACACAAGACTCCATGTGTAATCAAAGCCACATACACTGTACAGCTTACAGTATGGAGCTGTTTTTAGAAACAATAGGGGGAGGGGGAGAGGTTGACCTAAATAGACAGCATTTGTGGAGTCCTGAAAGGTGAATATGGGCTTTGCCAAGGAACCAAATATCATAGAGGAAATGTTCACGCTTTTCAAGACGATAAAGGAATCATGAACACATTGCTATCCTCTGAAAGCTTCCAAACAGGAAAATGGTACAGTCGTAGATGAAGATCTGCCTTGAGAATGAGGACAGTTGAGATGTAGGAACGTTTTTGTTGGAGACATCGTCTACGGACAGACGTCTCATGCGGCTCATCTACTGAATTCTGCACCCTGTTGACGTTTAAAGGATGCGAACGGGGCATGTTTGACCTGAAATGGTCGCTTTGTCTGGGAATATTTTTAGTTCTCATTCTCTACAGGCACTAACTGATGGACCATTTCCACCCTTGACATCAAAGAAGGCCTTAAGGGCACTTTAACATTATTTCCGTACCTTGTGCAAAACTTAAGAAATGGGTTGGTGGTGAGGAAATGTTCAATACAAAAAGCTCTCTATTATTTACTAATCTTAACCATGATCTCAGCAGGCAAAGGAAACTTGAAAAGAACTATCTGCAAACTTCTGTTGGCCTGTTAGACAACTGTATTATTATGCAATATGGTTCAATCGTAGGGATTTTTAGTGGCTGGCCTAATGCGAACTAGTGTGTCATGAAAAATGGGGACAAAGCTGAAAATGGGTTGGTTTTTTTAAGCGCTGTGTACAGCAAAACTATTCAGTGGATTTTTCTAAAAAGAATTTCAGACAAATTCCTTTTGACTTCCAAATGTTTTGTACAAATTCGAAGCGCAAAACTTCAACGTGGAGGGAAATATTAACAAAAAAAGTTGTAGCTTGTTTTTGGGTTTTTTGGATCACCCTGTAAATATGTGAGTTTCACTGTATACAAATTTAGATGACAAATCAGTGCATTGAGCATGAAATATAAGGAATACAAGAGTAACATTTTGTGGGAAAATTTATAGAATATGTCATAATGTTAACAAAAATTCAAGACAACAATATTTCATGTGTAGTTTGTGTACATACCGCCACCAGCCTCGTACGTATGTAAAGACATTGATGTCCTAGTTCAATAGCAATAACACTAAACAGTATCACAACTAGAGTATCAAAACTTCAATTGCAATTCTACTTGTTTTACACCACCATGGACATAATTTAGATGATTTAGGAGGACAACTATGCTGTTCCTGCCAGTCTGTGCCCACCCACGCTGAATGAAAACCTCAATAATAATAATACTCGATATACTCGAAAATACTTTTTTTTTTTTAACTCCCCAGCTCGAGAATCAAATTTCAGTCCTTTGCTACTTTGCCTGTCACTGGGAAGAGCCTAACCACAACCAATGATAGTACATAACAAGATGGGCCACTTCTCTCTTTGAGCCAATTAAAAAAGTGTCCTCAAAATTTGGTGGCGCCCTCTTCACAAAAGCGCACTCTTTGCGAACAGAGTTACCCTACTTGAGTTTTTAAAAAATCAAAGTGAAACTAGCAAGTTTTGGGATAAATTTTGGAAGAACGCTTTTTTAAAATGGTTACGCTGACAAAAAACTTCTTCCGGAGGAAAGGGTGATGGTTTTCATCGTTTAATTTGACTTTAGAATGAAAGGCGAGAGGTCATTAAAATATAAAAAAAACTAAAACTCCGCACTGAACGTACCCGAACTGCTGATGAACAGCAGTCGATCTGCGCACGCAAGGAGGTGCTGTTCCTATTCTTCTTCTGGAAAAACGAAAGAGAGCTTCAAAACAGACTGCAGCGCCATCTGAAGCAAAGAGCATACTTCCTGCGGACACTTTTTTGGCTGAGTGGCCCATCTTGTTATTCACTATCTTTGCCACAACAATATAGATTCAAAATTTTAAGAGTATTCATTTGTGCGCATGGTGGTTTGTGCAACAAGTTAATACTGGAATGGCAATATGGTACATGTATACAACATGTGTATAAATTGTGATCATTTAAAGTCAGGACATAAATCTCGCATTTTAAAAAATAGTTTTAAAAAGACGAGTTTTCTTTGCTTAAACATTGGAATTTGCTCAAAATGTCAAAGAGTCTCAGAAAACAATATTTTTACTGATAAATATCCCTTTATTAGCCAATACCTTCTTTCTTAAACTATATGGGGAACAACAAAAGGAGTTGCACGTATCATACTTTTAAAAATACATATTACCACATTGTGTCGTCTAACAAGTTTACTGCGCTGCGTAATAAATTTCATTCTGTTTGACTTTTTTTCAGAAAAAGAAAAACAAGGAAATACTTTCACATGAGTAGTAGGGGGGAAAAAACAGTCCAAGCCAAAATAATTCTTCCTGGAAACCTAAGAGTTGAGAGTGAAAGGTTCGTTTTATATGACCACCACATCCTTGCAGTGACTGGCTTGATAGATTAGAAAATGAAAATCTTTTTTTTTTGGTCCATCAGTAATTTTATCAGTTCTAGTTCTTGTCCCAAACTAATTTCATTCTTTCTTTTTTTTTTCCTTCCTACTTGTGGAGAAAAAGAACAGATCATAATATTATTAATTAGATGTATTAACAACATAAGAAAAAAAGAAGAGTAATCAAATTTGAGATAAACACCATCTACGCAGGTTAAACTTTAACACATAAAGCTGCCCATAGCATACAGGGCCTACAGCCAAAAAATTCACATATTATTTGTGGTTTTCAGCTTTTCTTGATTGGCAAAAAAAAAAAGTAATATTGATTGATTGTAAATACTCAACTTAAACCCTGCCTGTAAATGCCAAACTGGGCTGAGAGAGATACAGCATCCCATCAGAAAGATGGATATAATGCTATAAAATAGAATTCTCCACACGAGAACTGAACTCTTACTCACCTCTTTAGCTTGTGACGGAAAACAATACAATCATTAACAATCAATAGTATAAAAACAATAAAATCCATTAAAATTAGGGTGTAACAAAAAGTCAATATAATAATACATAGAATAAAATAGGTACATGTATAATTTCGAATTGCGTTTGAAAACACTAGCTACACTCTTAAAAGACATAAGATCATTAAAGACCTATAACTGTTCAATCTACAAGGGACATAATGGGGTTTGACTTTTTTTTTTTTAATTACTAACTGTACCATAATTGCCCCTTCATTAAAGCATCAAATTTACAAGACAAGATAGTTAAATGTGAAAAAGCTTCAGCTTATGACATTCGCGATAAGAAGCCATAATAATTAATTTTTTTTTCATACAGCATGTATGAGGGCGCGGGACACATTAAACATTTTCAGTTAGTAGGAAATTTTGAATTTTGCACGGGTGGCAGCCGAAGCCTACTCTTATCGATTTTGGACCACCAAGGGATCTTTAACGTGCGCAACTTGCACACGAGACCTCCAAGATTTTTCACCCTTTTCCGAGAAGGCTAGGTGTAGATCTTTCCTACCAGAAGATCAGGGGTGTGGCAGAAAGACAGCAGTAAGAATTAGCCAAGGAGTAGCAGTAGAAAGGCTGCAGAAAGAGTCAGGAGCCCAGAGGAGGGGGCAAAGGAGATGAGGGGGTGGAGGCAGAGTGGAGACGAAAGCAGATGACAGAACATTGTTAGAGAGAAGGAAAGGAGGTGAAAGGAGAAAATTTTAGACAAGAAAATTTTCCGTCGCTATACAGATTCGAACCTGGGACCTATTGAATGAGAGGCGAACACCTTAACCTCAAGGCCATGAGAGCCCATAACAATTTTTAGATAGATTTCTAAAAAAATTTTAGGAGCAGTCCTTGGGAAAGCTCTCAACAGCGACTAGCGCAACCAGGTGTGACAAATTTTATATAATTATCCAATTTGTGCACAGCAATTCATATATGTGGGTGTGCCTGGAGAAAGGTCCCAGTTGTCGGCAAAGCTATTTGAATTTGAGGGTGAAAAGGCCAAAAAAGTCATACCTGGTCAAAAATTTAGTTCCATCAGAAAACACACGTTTAACCATTTCTTATTAAATTATTAAAGCATTTTATAATATTTTAAAGTCAGAATACTTTTTTACAAATCATTTTTGCAACTTGTACTTTACCACAGGTTCAAAATGGTCTGCTTAGACTGAGTCATAGGGCCACAGTTAAATGGCACCTGAAAACTCAATACATCAGAATAATATATATTACAATGTATGTCCTAGCACTGCTCAGGTCAACATATTACAGACAATACATATGACTACATGCGCCATCTAAAAACAGATGGATCAGTTATGACAGGATAATGGTTTATTTTTAAAGTACAAATTAACCAACCCAAACTAGTATTAAAGAAGGCCTCACTACAGAAGGAAAAATAGCATTACAACGTCACAATACATCAGCTCAGATGTAAAAAAAACTATGGAAATCGATCTCAATCTCTGATTAAAACTGTTGTTGCTTTCTTAATGAACCCAGCTTCGAAAGATAGAAAAAGTTACACTGTCGGATCTATGATCAGTGACCTTGAGCCAGTGTGGAACATCGAGCTAACATTCAGTGATCATCACTATCCAAAACTTTAACAAAGGCCATAATGCCAAACCCAGCAGCCGAACAAAGAATGTAAATGAATCTACTTTTGACACAACGATGGCCCATGTATGAGCAAAGGATTTCTAAAAACGTAACATAAAGAAAAGTACCGGCTGCAACTCCCTGCAGAATGCTAGAGGACAGATCCTTTGCATCTTCATTTATGTTACCAGAAGTCAGAATAATCCCCAGCCCAATACCAATGGGGGACATGAGTGAAAACAGGCACATCCATAAAAATGCTTTCACTGGGGAATGGGCATAGTTTTTAAACATTTCAAGCCCCAAACAGAATGCAATGATACTTTTATGAACTGCAATAGCAGCAAAAACCTGCCACACCTCGTTCGCATCTTTCTGCAGGCCAACAGCCAGGCCATCAAATATTGTATGGAAAGATAGAGCCATTAATAGCAGAAATGCCTGCAGCCCCCCTTGCCGAAGCCCATTTGTGAGAATTTCTCCACCACCTCCGTGGGTATCGGACCGATCTGAACGATATTCAACAGACACAGGATGCTCTGCCTGTGAATCAGGTCCATCTGACTTTGGTGGTGCTGTTCCTCCCTCTGCCAACCGAGTCTCAGCCAGTCCTGGTTCCTTTTTGTGGTGCTGTGAATACTGTGAGCCTGTCTGAGGAACCGTGTTACTCGGATGAGGCTCAATAGCCCCGTAGTGTTGGCGCATCCGAGTAGTGTCTTGGGCATCGTGACGAAGAAGACTTTCTCTGTCTTCTGATTCTCCGTGGGTGTGCTGCAGACAAGAATGCATGAAGTGTTCTACCAGAGCCACCAGGAAGAACCCGGCTACGACAAATGTGTTGAAAAAGGGAAATTCCGTCTCCCATTTCACGTGTGTTTTGTAGTGCTCAAACTCCTCAGAACCTTCTGTCATGAGATGAAGCAAAAATGTTCCGAGAAAGACTCCACCCGCGAAGCAGTTAAGACAGGCAAATGCCACATCCCGGACTCGACTTGAAACTAGGGACCGAGAACCTCTCAAGACTAAGAAATACGGTAAACAACTGAACGCAATAGTCAAGATGATCAACACAACAAGGGTGATAACTTTCGCAATGGTAGCATCCATTTTGATTTCTCAGGGTTCAGGACCTGTGAAGGAAAAATGATGAGTAATAGTAATATAAAGGCTATGTAATGTAACCACAAATTTACACATTAACTCTTTTCCAAATAAACACTTTCCAAACTGTGATAAAGCCATTATTGCTGTAATTTTTATTTTTTTCTGACTTCTCAGTAAAAAATATTCAGTATAATTTATTCTAATTTGGTTTTAGAGAGAAAATTATGTTATAGATCTATATTAAAATTTAGGGAAATCAATTTCCTATTAGTTATTACAGTTTGAAGAAAAAAATTGATTAGTGTGGGTCTGAAAAGACTCTGGAGTAGAATATATTCAAAACTTGTTGAGCAGCGGAATAATGAGTAGACGTGAAATATGTAGGCCTATTTTAACTCTTTATCTCCGGCAAGCCGTTCCCAGCAGCTCACAGTTGGAACCCCTGTGCCGGTGAGCCGCTGACAGAGGCTGGGTCACATTCCTTTACGACGACTTCAACATCAAATTACTTCTTGTTGGCAACTGCCGAAAACAGGTCTCTTTTATCGGGATTTCATTGGTTAGATGAAGAACTATCAAAATAGGTTGACTTGTTTTGATTTAATGACCAATTTAGAGATGTTTTTGTCATTTTAAGATTTAGTACCAAAATAGGGGCCCGGCATAGTGGGTTTACCCTCCGCGGAGATAAAGAGTTAAAATTAAAATAATCCAAAACAGACTTCAATATAATGGAAACTTTCTATACTATAAGGCAACAACTCAAAACATTTTACAGACCTTTAACAAATTCAACACCCCCCGAAAAAAGAAATGTACATAATTAATTGGATGAAGAATAACGGAACTTGAGTGGCTCCGTCACATTATATTGTAGCAATCTCACACATGCTCACTGGCTATAAAGTAAGGTTTTCATCAACCGCTTTGCTATATCATTAGTTGTTATACTTTTTTTGTCTCTACTCGAGTCATGGTTTAATGTCGAAGAGAGGAATGTATCTCAGAAAAAAATGAAGGAACACTAATAACAAGACCAGAATGCATTGTCTGTACAATTCTCCGACAGAAAAAAGGACGAAAGACAAAATTGAAAAGCGTTCAAATTCAAATTTTTTTTTTAATGGTATTCAGTGTTTTTTGGGCTGTATCTTGGCTCATGACAGTGTGTCTTCCGCCGAGTTTTTAAAAGTTACAGCACATATAATACGACATATTTATAAGTGATAAAATAAAAAGAGTTGAGAGCTGCATACTCTTGTCCCTCATTGTTATTCTGGGGAAAAGGGAAGGGGATGGAAGAGAGATGATAGAAAGACATTTTTTTTTCAGGCTCTTTTGTAAATGATGTAAAACGAGTTTCTTGTTTGCTTGCTTGAAGCAGTTTTCTATCAGCATGATTTTATTGAAATATTTATATTATATATATTTAAACACACATCTTTGTATGCGATAGTTTTCCAATATAATATATACACACAGCACTCCTATCTATGTTCTGTTACGTGACATACTTCATTTTTGTCCGACACTGACACCTATTGCTTTTCTCTGTAGGTGGTTGGAGCAGGGTACCACAACTACATTCTTCCACTGTTTCCCCATGTTGTTTCTATCTGTTTTTCTTGCTTTACCTTTAACGAAATGGCCATTATAATTATTATGTTGATGTCCTTCTCTTTACTTAAACTTAAAGAAAACATTTTTACAGTTGAACCTGTACAAATGACCACTTCCCAACTCTCCCCCACCCAAACTCTGCACTTTTAAAAAGTCATTGTGACACTGTGGAAAAGTCTAAGACAAACAATTTTCTCCTCGACAATGGATGGCCCTCTTGGATAATTTTGATGACATGATGTCCTTGATCTTTGTACAGTAGTCTCCGCCTAAGATCCCGGTGCTCGGGAGCAAGGAAATGCGGGACCTTAGGCGAACCGGGATCTTAACCGATGAACCAAGGGAAGAATCTATGGTGACCCATGTTAAGGCCCATAATCGGTAAAATGGTCTCCCTCCACTCTAAAATGAACTGACGTGACCCCTTGGTGGGTTTATGACATACGGCGAGCAAAGAGTGGTTAATCTTGATGACCTATCACAGCGCATAGTGGCTGAGGCGAGCCATTTTCACTTATTATCCTATCATGAGTCTCAAGATCTACGCTTATCCAGTTACCCCTCCCTTCACCTGTCGAAAGTTTATAGCTTTCCATCTCTGACCAAGTCCCCCCCCCCCCCCCCCCAAAAAAAAACCTGCCTTTGTCGTTACACACCGTTACGTTCTGAACACACCAATTAAAATTCAGCCTGTCTCGCAAATTCGGGAGTAGAGACAACTGCTGAAATGGTCAGGGAAGAGTTGGCGGTTCGATGTAATCCTGTCTGGAGCGAATGTGTAGGCCCTACCCACCCAGTGAGTGATGTAAATTTAGGGGGAGAGCTCAAGTGTGAATGCAATGCGTGGGGAAAACAAACGTGTCGGTCGGTTCACACCCCGATGTGATCCCGTCTGGGGCTAACAATGTATCGCTTCGAGTTTTACAACGTGTATAAATATGATCACATTCACGATAGCGGCTGATCTTTGACAAGACGGACAGTTCATTGATCTATGTCTATTCGCACACCAACACGATCCTGAGGAGCATCAACCCGGCCCTGCTCAGCCCTGATCCCTCGTGGGTCATGTCTCGTAACACAAGCGGGAGGGGGTGAGAATAGCGAGACATAGGTTAGGCCTATGGTGAGAATAACCACTTCCTTATTATTAGAATCTAGATCTAGATCTAATCTAGAATCTAGATCTACATCTAGATCTAGATATATACAAAATGAAAGTGGCTATTCTCACCCGCCCAGAAGTTCTCGCAAGATCAACTCCTCCCCTCTTCTCTCTCTCTCTCTGTCTCTTTCTGAATACTGTCTATCGGTGTGGACGATCAAATTGACCAAAACAAAGTTAAAAAATGATGTTAAAACACAAAAGTAAATTAATTTGGTTGTCTACAAAGATGTTACGGCTATTTAACTTTTCGAATCGAGCCGAACTACGCGGGTCGCCATTTTGTTTTGCCCGGAAATTCTCACGCTACTCCTCTCTCTCTTTCTCTCTCTCTCTCCACTGCCCACAGACAAAATTGTTCGCTTTTAGTAGGCTACAGTTGTAATGGAACGTTTGTTCACGGCACAGAATTCTACAATTTTTCTGTTATCACAGTGTAGAATTCTGTGGTTTAGGGTGAACGCAAAATTTGGTGAACGCGCACCGGGTGAGAATAGCCACAAGACTCGCCTGCACTATTCTCACTCCGGGTGAGTGATCTAGAGGTGGCCATACAAAATTATAAAATGCTTGACTTGCAGAATAGCAGCATTGGCATTATGCTGTCATCTCAAATGTGCGATATTTCTTCACATTCTACAAATCTACTTATGAATAGAATAGTATTAACTGACTTCGAAGTAACAAAAGCAAAATTTCATCTAACCTGTAAGAGATTATGAACCAGTTGCTGTTCAAAATGTGGTATTTCTGAAAGGGTTCCTTTCTGAAATGGAACTGGACTCGACTTACAACGCTGACAACGCTTTGCCTTATCTCAGAGAACTCGTGACTCCCAAAAGCTGGCTTCCTGTCCTGTTTTGTCATGGCGGTTCAACTTTAGAAATAGATCTAGTGAAACTCACCATGCATGCTCCTTATAATATTCGGGTTTTCCATCAAAAGGAAGCAAATTCCCTGGCAACGCTGTACTCAACATGAGCAGCACATGGTTTCTAAATTTGGAAGATTGGTTTGTTGTTGTTATCCTTTCTAGGTATACGTGAGCCGTGTGCAAACGTGAACTTCACGCTAAAAATAGGTCATCCAGCCTCAAGCGACAAAGGTCAGGAACAACACTGGCCTTCAGGAAGGCGGAGAGGAATTTGTTAGGCCCTAGATCTAGATGGAAAAGGGGGAGCTTTTGGGATGGGGTGGGGTAGATCAAAATGTATCAACTAGATCTATATGAAATGATCATGCGATTTTTTTAGATGCCGCATTGTTATTTTGTTCCTTGATTATTCCGTACAACGAATTAGGCTACGGTACCAGCCCGACAAAATGAATCTATTTATATATAAGGTGAAGGTGACGCGTGATTCGCTCTTCACTAGGCCTAATCCACAATCAGCAGGGCCGAGCCTAGACTAGTCTAGATCTATATCTAGACTTTACGTGGACTTTTAATTCAATCGTCTGTCTTTTGAACACCAGTGCACGTGTCCACTGTTGTGTGAAATGTCAAGGTGGTCTGCTCTCCTTTCCTTTGTAACCTGTTTCTGAATTCTGTTGGGGGGTTTTTCTTTTTGCACTTGTCGTTATTGATTGCCATGGAAGATGTCTACTAGCCTATTACATGTATTATAATAGCCTGGCCTATCACCTAATATACACATTTATCATAGGCCTAATGTCAAAGTGCAACGTCGACGACAAACGATACTTTTCGTCAAATGTGTCAGTACTGTGATTGGAATGTGTCAACAAAAATAAGACTAGATCTAATTTAAAATCCTGAAAGACGGACTTTCGGAAACGCGGACGTCGACGATGTTACTAAATCTAAGTAGGCCTACTAAATAGATCTAAATCTAAAATCGATGCTACTTCGTAAAACGGTCTTTGGTAATCGCGCATATTGGATAGTTTATTAAGCGCTCATTTTGACTCTTGTTTCATTAAATGCTTGTCCAAGGTCCATTGGCAACCGGATCTTTTTCTTGTGTAATATATAATTATCTCACGTATTTATATTTTCAATTCAACAGCCTAGGTAGGCCTGTACGTGACATTAGATCTATGTGATTGATAGGCGCACGAGTGCGGTCAAAAATTCGTGGCTCAACTTATCCTCAACTATTGTATGATATATTAATGTGCAATCCTTCAAAGCCTTCGCATATATTAGACTATCACCAACAACTCTCGATTGTGTGTTAGTATATTTATAACTTACAAGTAAAAATAAAAAGAGTGATAATAATAATAAGAGCATATAATTTTTGTATCCCACCTTTCCCCACAACATGGGCCCAAGGCGTACATAGGAGATTAAAAACGCATTATCATACTAACACCATACAAATTCGCCATGTGCGCACTTTTTGACAGCAACATTCTTAATTTCAGACAATAAAAAATGCTCATACAAAAAGGCAAAGGTACTGTCCATTAATTAAAATATTTCTTAAATAAAGATGTGTTTTGAAGGTATCAAGTTTTATTACGCTTCTCAAATCATGAGGGACATCAGTGTCCCAAACTGCTGGCCCACAAAAAGAAAAAGCTCTCTCACCATATTTCTTCAGTGACACACGAGGTGTTAAAATTAGTCTAGAGCCACTGGATCTTAGTTCACGTGATGGTGTGTATAGTACTATAAGTTCTTGAATATACGTGGGAGACTGGTTAGTTTGACCTTTGAAGCATAGTAAGGCTAACTTATGCATTTTGGTTTGAACAATACATGCATTTAAATGTAATCATCCATGGTTTAAAAAACAAAAAGTATTTGAAAAAACTGTTTTGTTCCACTAATCGCACTAAAGGCTCTCAAGACATGAGTTCCATGTAAACAAAAGTGCTTTTTACGAGCCCATTCATAGAATGTAAGTACATGGCGCAACTTATTGTCAAATATCTCCTTAACTATCGAACATAGAGTCTCCAACGTTTGCACAATGAATTATACCAATTTGTCTTAACAGGTGAGTATTTTTTCAAACTCCTGCACATTAATGTATTCTAGAAAATTCCTAAATAAATACTAATAAAAAATCACAGTCGATGGTTTTTATAGATTTCAAAAAGTTTACAGCTCGGGCAATATCGCTTTAAAAGCAAGTCTGTCATTTTTCGTAAATAAGCGCAACGTATTATGCAAATTGAACGATTGTTTGTGCAAAAAAAAATGGGTTCAAAATAAAAATAATTTCTTGTAAGAAGTTTTGCCCCTATAAAGTGTCATTGGGGAGCTGTGACGTAGGCCATTATTATATGCAAAATGTGTGTGAGAAGCGGGAAGTGCTGTGAACAATCCTATATTCCGCGTGATGGAGATATATAGTAATTTATGTAAATTTATGAAGAAAATTGTTTTAATCGAGCCTCAGTTGTTGTGGAAAAATGTGATTAAGTAGATAAATTGAAACAAACTGATGTGCAAAGTGTGGGTGACATTGATTCACCCTTTTTAAAGAGATATTTGAGGATAAGTTGCCCCACGAGTTTTTGATCGCACTGTAGCCTAAGGAAGGACTTTTCTTTAGTGCGGTCGAAAATTCGTGGCCCAAAATTAACTAATTGTCAAATATTTCCTAACCTATCAAACATACTCTCTAGCTTTTGCACAATAACTTTGTATCAATTTGTCTTGACAGATCAATATTTTTGTAAACATCTGTTAGCTATATTCTAGAAAGTTCCTATACATGTACTAATAAAAATTCCAAGTCCATGTAGGTGGTTTCTACAGGTGTTAAACGGTTTACAGCTGATGTCGCTTTTAAAAGTAAATTTGTCTTTTTTTTTCTTCTGATCGTGACACTACTGTCTTTATTAAAAGCATGTTGAGAACCTTTCGTGCAAAAAAAATGTATTCGTAATAGAAAATTAATTGCTTATAGTAACAGATTTGCCACTGAAAGGTTTGATTTGTGAGCTGTGACGTAGGCCATATAATATGTATAGATAGATGGAGAAAGTTTTTAAAAAATCTAGCCTCGATTGTTGTGAGAAAACATGATGCAGTTATGACAAACTGATTCAAACTGCATATGTAAAATATGGATGGCTTTGATTCAACCGTTCAAGAGATATTTGAGTTGCGCCACAAATTTTTGACCGCACAATAGAATAGAATACCGTGCACAGATGTTTTTTAAAATTTTATATTCATCTGTTGAGACAAATTGATATAAGTCATTATGCAAAAGTTGGAGAGGCAATTATTTTTTATAGTTGGGAAGATATTTGACATTAAAGTTGCGCCACGAATTTTTGACAGCATTAAAATTATAGTCAAGATGTGTGGAAAGAAAATAATCATATAATTGCCCACTTTCATTATTATCTTTTATTTTCTAAGTTGCAGTCCTTGCTGCATGATCATGAAAAGCCTATACCTTTTTTAAAAATGATATAAATAAAGCAGAGCAGGGGCCATAACGATGAAAAAGTTTGCTGTCTTATAGGCCTACTTACCAAACAGTTTAGGCATAGGCTTACAGAAGATAATACTCCGGTCGAATGGAAAGAGTGCTCGATGAGATTACCAACCAAGAGATCAGCTAGTATACTGGATTCAGACAAAAAAGATACTCTATAACAGACCATTATCAATCATTGAATTAGGTAATCGAAAAATACCACGCACACAATCTACACTACAGCAATCATCTGGTTTTATTGATTACGAAAAGTTTGACTCCATCGAACACTTTGCAATTTTTAAAGCTTTAAATATAACGAGATCATACATCCAATTATTGAATAACATGTATTGATAAACGTTGGCTAGAATTCATCTTGACAAAATAAATTAGCCTCGTGTCAGAAAATGTTTGCCAAAGAAAAGGGAGTGAAGCAGGGATCCAAGACTCCATCATCCAAACTAGTCACAACAGCAATCGAAAGTATATCAAAAGGAATTTCAATAGATGGAGAGCACCTGGAGGACCTGAGATTCGTCGATGATGTGGCACTTTGCACCGAAAATGGAAAACAACAGAATTAACCTAGACGTCATAGATAACGAAACCATAGGCTAAAAGTAGGCCTTAAAATCCACAAAGATAAAACAAGACGACACCAGCGACAAAAACGATTGCTATGGAAAACACAAACATTGAAAGAGTGACAGGATATAGATTATTTTAGAACAATACAACAAATTATATATATATATATATATACTAAAGCGGGGGTGAACAGAAAGATAAATGCAGCTTGGATGAGTTGCTTTGGAAAATACAGAGGAATATTTGAACATAAAAATCTGCAGATTTCACTGAAAAGACGTCTTCAATCAGTGCATTAAATGTCCTAACAGTATACACGTATGTGGATAGCAATCTGGCCGAACTAGAATTTTAATAAGAAATTAAGGACAACACAAAGAGCAATGGAACGGATCAAGACGAAGGGGCATAACAATGCACGATCAAACACATCACCCAAAAATATAAAGAGAAAACAGATGTCCCCAAATTTACACTACAACAAAATACATGGACTGGTCACTTCAGCAGCGTAAAGGACAACAGATGGACCCCCAAAAAAATGTTATAGAGACCAAAAACAGAAGTAAAAAAAAGGTTTGGAGGAAGACCAGAAAAAGATGCAAGGACGATTATGATACATGTATCAATCTGACACACAGAAAGCAGTAGATAAAACAGAAAGATTTTAACATCGTTGTTGGGGGTCTACATATATTATTCTCCAGAGGACGAATACAACTTTGACAGAAAGAAAGAAAGAATTTACAGTATAGCAAACACTCGCACGAGCCGAAAGTAAGTTCACATTGATAATAATAGTGCTGTGGCCTGTCAGGCGGACCCCCCCCCCCCCCAAGCCACACCCACACCCCTAAACAAATAATAATTTATAACACAATGTTGTCAGTCCCTGTAAATTGGTACTCTGCATGAGCAGCACGGGATTTCTAAATATATGGAAAGTTGTTTTTATTGTTGTTGCTACTCCAATCAAAGATTTGCTCCTATTACATAGTACAGTCGAACGTTCCTTAACGGAAACCTGTGCAAAACGGAAACCTGTCTTAACGGAATCTCCCCGCTCCCCCTTGATATATTCCTCTTTAATAACCTGTATAAAACGGAAACCTGTCCAACGCGGAAACGGAAAGAAA